TCTAACATACATCTATGAAGTACTGCACCGGCACATACAGGGACAAATCCTAGGCTAGCCCCTTCCCCTGGGATACAGGAAAGCCCTAAATACAGAGGAAGTGTCTGAGTTCCACTGCATGGAAGGCAGGCCAAGGAGAGACCTACAGGGAGCCTTACATCCCCTTGTCAATCACAGAGCCCTGCTTTGCACAGACTTGCCTCAGATCAGCAAGGAAGAGGGATTGAAGGGTAGGGTGTGGAGGGGCAGGACTATGGCCAGTGGGCCCAGACCTATGCAGATACAGTGGCCAACCCCGCTGCTAATATGCGCCTTCATGCCATGCTAGCTGGAACCATTCCTAGAGCCCCCAAGCTGTCGTAAAGATTCGAACAATTGTATTGGTGTTCCACATCCTGGGGAAGGGAGGACCCCATCACGCGAGCCCTGCCAATACCACCTGTGCGAGGCCTTTTTATTCCAGGATCATGCAGGACTCCAGGGCTTAGCCCAAAATCTTGTTGTTTCCTATGAGTGGGGAGCGGGGGGGAGGGGAGGGTTGTTAATTCATAACAAAGTGCAGAGTCTCATTATCACTTCGTTGCCGACTGTTAGCGCAGACACATGTTGTGTGTTTCCTTATGTCTACTGCTTGACGCAGCAGCACAGAGAAACTGAAAGGAAACCAACGAAGGAGCCTGGAACCCCCCCCCAGAGCTCACTGCTACACCTTTATGTGGGTGCCACTCTTGCTTCTGTGTTTGTCTGTGAGCCAGTACCGCTTGGGCTAGCGCATGCCACTAGCACCAGGCAGTCACACAAGGGCTGTACTTCTAGCCCCTTCTGTAATGGAGACCTTCTTCTGGCTCCTCAGAATGTAGAAAACGCCAGCTTAGTTATTTTGCCATGTCCGTCCGGGAGGGTATGTAGGGCTAAGTCAGCAGAGGACAGTGCACGTGAATAACTTACACCATCTCTCACCTGCAGTTGGCCCACGTTCTGTATGACATTTTATTGGAACACACTCAGCTGAGGATTTACACTAAGGGATCTGCAAGAACTTTAACAAAGGTCTGTTAGACGCATGTTAAGATGTCACTGAATAAATTTTTCAGTATTTTAGCATCACTTTGTGCGAAGGTTGAGCCAACCCAGGATGCACTGATGATCATTGTTGTTTCTGTGTCCTCAAGAGCTATCCATGTGCTAGGAGGGAATGAACCCAGCCCCAAAGAGTTTATGAACTAAGCACAGGGGTAGCTATTAGACAGAACCATGAATCAGGCCTCTTTCCATATGTAACATTATTTACCCATGGTAGAAGCTACAGTGTTTTAGACAAGAGTTCCAGGAAGAACTGTCTCCAGCAGTGCTACTTCCAGAAATGATGGAGAAGACTGTTGTAGGGCTAACCCTCAGAGTTCATTATTTATCCAATGTTCCCCAATGTACCAGCTACCGGATATGCCGCATCCTAAAGTGGTATCAGAATCCCCAGCCGAGATAGGGATCAATGGGAATACCTGCTGTGGAGAGTCCGCTCATCTCCCTCTCCACTGCATCTGGTCTATATTAGCTCAGAAGCTCTTGTACAGAACTTTGTATCTGTTGAGATACACGCGATGATCTGCTGTTGGCCTGTCTCGCAGTGCAGTGGCCTGTTTCACATCTGAGATCTCTTTCTCTCCATTGTATTGATTTTTAAGCTAATGGTTTTCATTATCTGAGTCTGGGAACTTGGATTTCACTTTAGCACTTAGTGTATATCAGTGTGGCAAGAGCTACTGTGTTGGGGGAAAAAATCAATGGTGAGCTAACTGAATTGGGACTTCGTCTGTGATTCAATCAATGGACAAGGATTCAGGGCCTCATCCTGCCCAGTGCAAGGTATTGTGAACCTCCGGCCCACATTGATGTTAACCTCATAAAAGAGGTGCTCAGCGTCTTAGAGAGTTGGCCTATTTAAGTTAACCCACTTCCAGAAGTAAGGCATGGAGAAGTCCATCAAGGCACCTAATCCATTAACCCCACTAATTAAAGATTGCTCGCTTCTGCATATCACCACCATCTCCAACACCCAGAATGCCAGCAGGGATGGAAGGAGAGGGGGGGAGAGGGCAGCAGAAGCTGTGTGGCCCTGGGGGAAGAATAATTAGGGAGATATAGAGGGAAGGGGAGTAGGTCCCTGATATTGCTTTGGGTTTACACTGAATTAACTGGGAGCAGGATCTGGCCTTTTGTCTTTATTCTCTATCTAAAATGCATTATAGACAGTGATAAATGATATCATGAGCCCAAAGTGTTTCATGCCTGGGTTAATGCACGCAAAAATTCAACAATAGCCTCTCATTTCACTAGGGGCCTGACCCCAAGCCCATTAAGTCATGGAGAGTCTCCTACTCACACCAGTGGGCTTTGGATCAGGCCTTAGATCACTTAGTTTAAGATGGGGTCCAATTCCCCTAAACATCCATGGGAGATTTTCCAGCAACTTTAGTGGCAGGCTGATGAAGCTATTGGCCCCTCTGTATAATTTGCTGATAATCTGTGTCAGAGGATGATATTCAGAGAGGTTAATGTTTGAAAGTGGTTGCCCTCAGGGAAGAAGCAAGCTAATGTTATCATTGGACCAGAAGACAATCAAACACATTTTGGACAATTCGCCTCCCCTCCCCCCCAGATGTGCACCCTACATTAGGCAAAGCTTCACTTGCCCTCAGTATGCCAGGAATTCATTCAGCTGTTCGATTGTTTTCTTTCACTGTACAATAACTGCCCTGTGGCACGTCATCATTCCCGAGCACTTGGCCCCAGGCAATTAGTGAAATCCCTGCCCTCAGGTAGAGAATGAATAAAGGATCCGTCACCACAGAGTAAGCTGTGAAACAAACGGGCCCAAGGCATTTGCTGACCGAGACACCTTAAGTTGCTGAGCCACAAACATACTGCGATGGAAATAAGCCTATGATACAATTTGGCCACCAGCATCCTTAATTACAGGACATGCCATCATTTGATTCACAAAGGACTAAATGGATGTATTTATACGTTTGGAAGTTTGAACGAGGATTTCCTGATTTCCAGATGAAGTCATGCCTGTGTTATAGAATCGCTGTTTGCATCGCCGTTAGTTAAGGTGGTGTCAGCATTTCAACTTAACCCCCCCCACACACAAAACACTATTTTCAGGACTTCTATCAGATGAAATTTAGTGTACAAGGTCTCATCCCAGGACAGAGACAGCCTCATCCAATTGGGACTGGGTGTTTTTTTTCCTGTTTTTAAGTATGCAGATAAATAAAGAGAAGTTAAGTAGTAGCAAATGATGTCTTTTAAATGCCAATAAACCCCACCCAAGCCACCTCCTATAAATCTTAACCATAGACTTGTGCACTGGAGTATTTGGGAAGCAATATTAAAAACGACTAAGTGCTTTTGTCTGGGCAAATGACGGTTTTCCATGTGCACTGATTCTTTTCCAAGAGTAATTTCACAACGTTGTTATTTACTGAGGACTCTGCACAATCGATAGGGTAGACCTTAGTTGAGGGCATTGTTTTAATATTTGGCAGATGAGGGCCCAGCATGGACCAGAGGTCAAGAGGGTGGGCCAGCTCTGCTCTTCTATTGATGTAAATTAGGAGTAACTCTAGTGAAATCAATGGAATTGCATGGGCATAAGACCAGTGTCTCAGAGAGCAGGCAGCAGGCCTTTCATGCACTCCTAAGCGGGGCCACAGAAGCCTTCACACAATAGGCTGTAATGACTTCAAAGGGGCTGTTGTATTCTTTCATGGGAATAATCAACATACAATGCAACCTTGTTTATCCGAAGGTCTCAGGTAACACCCAAACCCTTTTGATAAATGGGGGCTGGGCCGAAGGAGGGGACTGGCCAGCTGGGTTTGAAAAGGCTGTCCTCCAGGGATACAGAACCCTTTCTCCTTGTTGAAATCCTGCCGGGCAGTCTTTTGGAAAGTCCATTAGCCAGCTCCCTCTTTACCAGGCTGCATTCTGCAGCCCTGTCTATGCTGCAAGGATTGCACCCTTACATCTTGCAGCGGTGTGGGTGAATGGAGCCAAGAGTCCACACTAACCATCTTATTCCTCAAGTATCAGAGGGGTGGCCATGTTAGTCTGGATCTGTAAAAAGCAACAGAGAGTCCTGTGGCACCTTTAAGGCTAACAGATGTATTGGAGCATAAGCTTTCGTGGGTGAATGCCCACTTCGTCGGATGCATCCTGGTGCACACAAAAGCCCACCACATCAGCCATTCAGGCCCTGTCCATTGTACCTATCCCACAATGCCATCCAATAGCACCAAGTCTCTGTGAATTCAGACACTGCGGCTCCTTTGTGCCCCCGACCCATATACCATCATGGAGTGCCCAAGCGGTGATCCATGAAGCCAATACACTAGCTATAAGATCATTTTGTAGTATATGTAGCCTTTAGAGAGACATCTAAGACTGAGGAAGTAGCTGTTCTAGCTTCACTTCGGATCTGTATGTTCATTTGGACCTGTCAAGTAAGGAGTCCCAAAGAAGTCATGGGTAGGTGATGTCTCTCATAGCTCCCCTGAGACAGAAAAGGAGAAAAACACAGACTCTATGGGAGAGTTAAAAGCAACAGAGGGTCCTGTGGCACCTTTGAGACTAACAGAAGTATTGGGAGCATAAGCTTTCGTGGGTAAGAACCTCAGTTCTTCAGATGCAAGTCATGCACTTGCATCTGAAGAAGTGAGGTTCTTACCCACGATAGCTTATGCTCCCAATACTTCTGTTAGTCTCAAAGGTGCCACAGGACCCTCTGTTGCTTTTTACAGATTCAGACTAACACGGCTACCCCTCTGATATGGGAGAGTTGCTTCTATAGTTCACAGAGGTTGCTTAGATTTCCAATTTTTTTCGATTTATTTATTTTTTTAAATATTTGTTCTGTCTAATCCTTAGGCGATGGGTGAAATATCGGAAGAATAGGACCGAATCCTGCTCAACGGCAAATAAACCAGAAAAGAAAATTAAATGGTCAAACACTTTTTGTTAAGTCTGCCACAAAAGCAAGAAAAAATCACAGTTAAGGCTGGAGCCCTGTCCTCATTTCTGTCTGGGGCACTTCAGAAAGGCCTCCAAAGTAGGGACAATTCCTCAGGACCCACACAATGCCTAGACACCACAGCGTAGGTGAAGGAGGGAGTCCCAGCCTTAACATTGCATGTTGCTCCTTCTATGGTTTGCAGTCAGACTCTCAATGTTAGTGCAACCTATTTTTTGTGGTTTAATAAATCACAGGCTGCTGCTTATGTAATGACTCAGAGTGAGTGATTGTAGTCTCTTCTGGCCCAGAGGTGGTGTCATCATATCCCGGCTCTGGAAAGCAATGGAAATCAATGGTTGCTGCTGGATTCATTTCAGGCAGGCTGGGCTGTGTGGAGGTGGTGAGGGGCTGGCTCAAATTTTGAACGGTTACTAGTTCCAGATGGAGCTGTTTACAAAAAAATAAACATTTTTCTAATTAGTTTGTGGTTCAAGTCTCCGTCCCGACCTTCCCTCCCCAACACAGACCAAAAAAAGACATGGCTGGGCATTTCTGATGATTGACACTCAGGCCTCGTTTTCTTCTTGCTAATAAAGTTTTACAAGTCCACCTACCTGCCAGAGTTTAAACATCCTTAAAAGCTGTACAGGGCCGTGAAATCACACGCTGCTCTGGGCCAGGTTTGCTCTTCTGCACATCTAGCAATGAAATCTGAAGCTGCTCTTTGCAGTGCACATCCTCCTCCTTAAAAGGCTTTCCCATTACATAAAATGTCTCGCCTATAAAGTGCGTTGGCATCCAGATTGATTCAATTCCTTTGAAAGCATCTTTGTCGTAACACGTCTACACGGGGGGAGGGGGCTAGAAGGAAAGCCTGGCCTCCCTTAAAAAGTTTTGTTCTGCTATGCAGAGCAACAGACTAAGGAAAGAAAAAAGAACAAGCCTGGAAAATCCACAGGCCAGGGGCCAAACTCTGCTGGTGCAAAGTGGTGCACATCTGCCCGAGCCAAATTTGGCCCCCGATTGAAGCAAACTGCTTATGATTTCCATTCCCTTTAAGGCATTTTAGGGCCGGACTGAATGCCAGCGCTTGAACTCAGGGAGCGGGAGGACTGCTGGAGGCTAGCACTGACCGTGAAAAGAACGGTGGCCTTGCCCCATCTCTGCACCAGCTTGCAGAGATGGCCAGTTACCAGGGGAACTCTGGCCCATGTTCCCCCAGAGTCACTGGAGGGACAGAGCCTGCCTCACTCAATGGGGCAGAGTCACTCGGGTCCGAGAAAGGAGACCCAGCTTGCATCTCCCCTATTCAGTGGCTGCCGGGGCCAGTGCAAGCTAGGACAACCCTTAGGGCTTCCCTAACTTGTACCTTCTGCTGCCATAACCCCGAGAGGGCTTGTAGCAGTGGAGAATTGGCCACCTCAGGAACATTTCCTACTTCTCCTGATCCCTACCTCATGCCCCAAGCCTGACTCCACCCCAAGCCCCTCCCTGCCATGGGGGCTGCTGCAGGGGCAGTGTAGTGCTTGCAGTATGATGTGGAGGTGAATCTGGCCCACTGCCTTTAGCCTGCTGAGATGGTAGATCCACACACAACCCTACTATGAGCTGAAACAGTCCTATCTAATTCGGAGACTGGCATTGCCGCTTTGAAGGCCTGGGTGTAGTGACCGAGAGAAAAAAATCAACAAAAAACCTGCTCCGGTCGACAGCAATGAGCTGAAATGAGAGCTAAGCTGCCACAGCAACAACTCTGCTAAAACCCCTTCTCCCGGCCAACCTCAGCGACTCAGAACTCCACCATGCACCTTTGCAGCCAGCACTGCTTTCTCAGAAGTCATTGCTTTCCTGATTAATGAGCAAAGCCAAAAACTTAAGGCATCAACGGCACAATAAAATAGCCTACGGTGACTGTGAAAACGTGACCCAATTTAAAAAATAAAATAAAAAGACATGAATCAAATCGATACATCATGTGTCTGGCATCGCTTGGGTTCTGGGGGCGGCTTGCAAGCAGCAGGCCAAAATGATTTGTTTTCCCGAGACAACTGCCCCACCATGATCCATAAAAAGAAAGCTGCGCCCTACAAAACAGAGCCCGCTCTTGTGAAACTGCAGCTCGTAGCGTTCAAACTCGTGTTCTGCTCCTGCTCGTGGAACTCAGGCCAACAGGCCCTCATCAAAATCGCTGTGATTGGGTTACACTTGGACAGTTTACAGAGAGGTTTTACTGAACAGTGCCCCAGAGGGGTGCAAGTTAGATGGAAGCAAGTTGACTTCCTCTGCATACTGTGTGGGTCTGGTGAGATGAAGCGTTGGGTTTAACAATTCTTCTTGGGAAGAAAATCTAAACATTTGAGGTTTTGCAGGGGGAAGCTTTTTTTTTAGTTTGCTTGTTTGTTTTGGGCTTCTTTTTTGTGTGTGCCCGTTGTAACGTTTGTCATTTTTCCAGTTTGTAAAAATGACGAGACAGAGAAATAGACGATGAAAGAAATTGCCTGGCCCAAATTGCTAAGGTTCTGGAATTTTAGAAATGAGGTTTAAAGTGACACAAACTCTCCTCTACTTCATAGCACAGAGAGATGAAAATCTGGGTGATGGGAGATGATGAATGAAACAAAACTGCCAGTTTCTCCTTAAATTATGGGGTGTGAGAGAGGGAAAGAACATTTGTAAATTGTCCTTGCTCCAGAGTGCTTCATGTTGTGCTTCATGTCTGATTCTGAACAGCATTTTCTTTTTTTTTTAAATTATTGTTTCTTTATTGGTTTTCATTATCCAACACCCATAATAATGAAATGCAGAACAAGTACAAATAATAAGAATTGGAATTTCCCATAGAAGCCTGTCTAAAAAACAATGACTGTTGCTGAGAAATCAGAAAGCATTTGCACATGCAATGAAACTTTTTCAGGTTTCAACCCAAATTCAACACTAGAAATGGGCCTGAACCAACCCTCTGGATCTTAACGACCCTAAGTGGGTGGGGTTCAAAATCAGATCTGGATCCCACTGGTGCAACTTAAATCCATCTCTATTCAGAACTTGGTTTGAGGCCCTGATCCTCTGCAGGCATAAATCTGCAAATCGCTATTTGCTTCATTCTGAGATGCATCACCTGAGGATCTGGCCCTGTGAGTAAAGGGTTTACTATACCTCACAAGCCTTTTTAGCGGACCTGGCTGATTTATGGTTTTGTATCAAAATTACATCAAATTTGCAGTCTTGTGAGCCTTTGACTTTAAGCCAGGTGAAATTCAGTGGCTGTGTTTCACTCTGAACCTGGGAATATAAATCGAAATACTGGGGATTTGAACCCGTGTGGAGCAAAGCCAAAGAAAAGGCTGTCCCTTGGACTGAAAAATTGAAGCGTTTCACCGAGCTCTAATATTGAATGAGTGCTACAGAGACTGTATTTCCACAAATGTATTCTGTATACGCTAACTTATCATCCGTACCTTCGCCGCTGCTGTTAATTGGCTGGGGAACTGGCCTTAACAGAATGTGACAGAGAATAGTTGTGTGTGTCAGTCACCTTTATGTTTCTCCATTCTCTTTTCATTTGCTTTCTAGATTTCAAATAAACCTTTGGAAGACGAATTTCCTTCCCACTGTGATGCTGTCAAATATGCTGGATCTGTGCTTAATTATTATACTCATCCTGTACTGGTGTTTTGTATTCTCAGTGACATGAACATTCAATAAAATGTTATGCCAATTTTTGGGAAGTGTGTTAAGTGAGAGTGAGACATTCTCCAGGGACGGCAACATGAACAGGCCCGAGAAAGGTTTTAAAAGAATAAAAAGAAAGTAGATTGACCTCAGATGGGGTCTTGTCCGGTGCTTCTCAAACTGGCTTGCACAGCACTTCCTGGGGGAGTGCAGAGAACTGGCAGATGATGTGGCGTTGGCTCCTCCTCCATCTTTCCAGCCGCTCTGAATGGCCGCCAGGTTCTTCCTCGCAAAGAGCCTAGATGCCCTTAGAAGCAGCTGGAATCAAGGAGGAGGAGCCATTGTAGCTGCCTTTACTATGGGAAATGGGAGCTTTTCTCAGGGACCAGAGCTACCAGCAAGACTGGAGCCGCCAGTGGGAGCTAAGAGGAGGAGAGGAGCCAGGAGCTGACAGTGGTAATAGAGATGCCAATAGAAAAGAAATATCTCCAGGGGAGAGGGGAACCGAGCCGCTGAGCAGCATGTTCAGAGGAGGAGGGAGAGCTGAGGACCATATACCTGGAAAGCATGTGTAGGGGACCAGAGGAGAAGAGAACCAGGTGGCAGGGAAACATGTGCCAGGAAGGAGGAGGCCTACTAGCAGGGAAGAAGGCAGAGGGGGGAGAAGAGAGACGGGAATGAGGTGGCAGGGGTGGAGAGGGGAACCGAACATGGATGGGGAGCTGGCAGCAGACTGTGGTCCAGAATCAATTTGAGGCCCCGCAGCCCAGAAGCTGACATAACGGGCCCGGGGCAGGGAGGGGATCACTCCAGTGGAAGGATTCCTAGAGCTCCATAGCAGCGCCTTTCCCCTGTGACGGATGTAAGCAGGGTGACCAGAGTAAAGGGGGGTGGCTCTGGTGCCTTTGCCCACCAGAACTGATCTCCTGCTGCTGCACTTCGCCCCCTGGACGACTGGCATAATTTAGAGCAGACTTGAGGATTAGCCAGGCCTAGGATCAGGGGAGTGATCTTTATAATCTCCTACTGTGCTTCAATCAGGCAGCCAGGGATTGAGCCCGGGACAAAACATTTAGCACCGCAAAGACCGTTAAAAATACACTGACTCTTACCCCTGTCCCAGGTAGCCAAGACTGTAGCTTTACAATCATGAATGGGGTGGACGTGGGAGGGGAGCTGGTGCATGAGACAATCTCTCCATTAAAATATGGGTCACACCAGGAAAAAGTGGGAACCCTGAGTTTAGTCAAATCGGGTATTATATCTGGATCATCTCCCTCAAGTCATCAGCTCACAACACCGGCTTGAACAATGAAGCCTTAATCCGATCCATTCCAATTAGCGGCTTTGAAAGCCCCCCCACAAGTCACTTTTCCTATAAACATCCTCGTTTGAAAGGAATATTAGATGCTGCCGTTGCAGGGAATCACAAAGACAGGGCTGTTTTTTGGTATTTCAAAGAGCGTCCCGTGACAGAAGGCTGCTGTAGTGTGCAATGCACAGGAGAATAGATATGAATTACCCAAATGTAGGAGTGAAACTTCTGAGGTGCTAATGTTGGAGAATGTTTATCATCGCCGGGTCATGAAACAAAAGGGATCCCCAGCATTTCAGAGGCGATTGACAAAACCAGTTGCTGACATGGTATCCTAGCATTTTTGGAAGATATCATTAAAAAAGAAAAGGAAAACTCACTAGAGAGGACACGGAGACAGCTTCCATGAAAGAGCTGAAAAATGAGCCGCCGGGGAGATAAAAGGGATGGAGGTTTTGCA